TGATAAAATAAAAACCTTAAATGAGAATCAGTCAGCTCCAGAGCTGAAAGCCATATTCACATTGCACCATTCTGTCACTTCACTTAAAATAGAGGCCAATAAAGCAGCAGATTATCCTTTTCTACATGGAAATGTGAAGGATGGGATTGGGACAGGTATTGGGAAGGATGGGATTGGGACAGTAGATTTCATGGTTATTTCATGAGAATAGGAAAGGGTAAAGAACCCCAGATTGGTATGTGCTCCAGCAAGTCATGGCAGAAAGCAGGGCACACAGCTTCACCACAAGACCAAGTGAAGCTCCCTGCAAAAGAAATCTCTTACAGGAAGGACTGGGCCTGTAGCGGAATTTGCAGTCCGAAACTCTGGGTCTTCTATATCTCTTTAACATGAACACTGTTGTGTTGTTTTGTTGTTTGTTTGTTTGTCCTGTAAAAAAGCCTGCAATTACTTTTACTTTTCATTTCCCTTTCTTTGAATGTTGAATAGCGGCCACTAACCCATCCTGTAGCTGACACAGTCGGGTCTTTTCATCACAGCCGGTGCTGCATCAGCAACGTTTACCTGAGGATTTGCAGTTTGCACAAGCAGGCCCGTAGGTAAGCACACAGACAGAATTACCCCATTTGTATGCAAACATGTGGGTTTTCAAGGGCAGCCATTTTCCATCACAACGTTAAAAGTAAAAAGTGCATTCAAACACAGGCCCATTTTTACTAATTTGTTCCTGAATGCGTAATAGGAATGAAGGTTTACTGAATAAAACAACCCAACAGTACTGCTTTTCAATGAACAGTTCTACAAGGCGCTGTTTTGCATTTAGAATTGCGGGAACAGCTAAACAGGTAAATATTAAAAAATAAAAATAAAAAATAAAAAAAAAGACAATGTGCCAGCCCCTGTACTGTGTGATACATTGGGACTGAAAGCTCAGAAGCATTTTTTCAGCTGCAATTACAGCCAGCGGGGGGGCTCTACAAAAATAAGCCATGAGACCAACTTTAAGCTGGTTACGGAGTTTAAAGCAAAACAAAACAAGAACAAAACAAAACGAAAAACCGGCCGCAGCAGAGCGTTCAGCCTGGCCGGCCTCAGCGCCACTCCCGCAAGGCCCCGGCCGGCGCCCAGTACCCGGCACAGCCCCGCTACTCGCAGCCCGCTGCCGGGACACGCTTCCGCCTCGGCGCGCGCCCTCCCTGGCAAATTCGCAGCGCTCCCGAAAAAAAATCATTATTTACCAGGAGTGGGGTTCGAACCCACGCGGACATACGTCCATTGGATCTTAAGTCCAACGCCTTAACCACTCGGCCATCCTGGTGCACATACAGGAACCGCCCGCAGACGCTCCTACATACAAGGCCGCGCTCCCCTCCGGTCCCGCACCCCGCCGACCCTCAGGCGGCCCCTGCCGCGCTCCCCCCCCGCCTTCATTGCCAGCGCCGGAGGGCGCAGAGTGCGCAGTGTGCCGCGCGCGGGCGGCCCCGTTCGGCTGCTTCAGGAGAGGCGGGCCAGGCCCGGCGGATGGGGGGGGGAGGGCAAATGGAACCCGTCACCGCCTCGGGCCTGCGCCCCTCGCGTAGCCGGGACCTGGCGGCCGCCTCACCCCTACGCCGGGCCTTTAGCGGGCGCCGGGGCCCGAGCGGAAGGGGGAAGCGAAGAGGCCGCGACGCGGGAGGGTTTGGAGGCGCGGGGCCGGGGCGGGGCCGCGCCTGAGGGGAGAGCGCAGGGCGTCCAACGCGGGCACGGGTCGCATTGCTCCGCTGTCGGGGCACGGGGAAAGCGGCCGGGCGGCTGCCAGGCGCCGCGCAGGCAGGGGGAACCGGCGGGGCGCGGAGCCGGCCAGCAGCCGGGCTGAGCCAAGCGACACCACCCCGGCCGTGGTTTCTTTTCCTAGACGGCTCTGCCTGTTGGGATGCCAGCTGGCAGGTGCTCCTGGGAAGAGTCGGTGCTATATAGCGACGTTGTAGTTATCCTAATCGGGTGCTTGCTGGGCAGGTGGCCGGACTGAGATCTGCCACTCTTCCAGACTGAGAAGACTTGGAAACATTCCCTGTATCCATCCTTCCCTGGGCTCCTGCTCTTGCCGTGCTTACTTTTCCTCTGAAAAATTGACATCCCCCTTGCCACACCACCAAACCTGGTCACATTTGAGCCATCCCGAAGGGGTATGGGATGTGGATGTGGAGGTTGTGGATGCCCCTCCCTGGAGCCAGATTGGATGGGGCCCTGGGCAGCCTGGTCTAGTATTAAATGGGGAGGTTGGTGGCCTTGCATGTGGCAGGGGGGTTGGAGATTCATGATCCTTGAGGTCCCTTCCAACCCTGGCCATTCTGTGATTCTGTGTGACGTGCATGGAGAGCTAATGTAAAGCACACAGCCTCTTTTTCCTTAATTTTATCATTCATGCACTGATGTCCATAGATGAAAGAACAACTCTTTGACTGGCATTTACCATGCTGTGTTACTTGCTAGTGGTGTTCCACATTCAGAGTGGTGGTCTGTCTCAGCAAATGCCTTCAAGAAACATCGTCTAGGTTATTTTCTTTCCTGCTCATGTGTGAAATTATTTCAGAGAGACAAAATAAAATGTTAGTTTTTCCTGTGAAGGCTTTGCGCGTGCCTTCCTTGGTCAAGAGGAAGAGGATCCAGATTCTCTTAATGTGTCAGGCTGTGCTTTGGTGACTGATTACTCTAAAATATACCCAGAAGTATCCTCTGTCAGAATAGATTCTACTTTGCAGATCAGATGCTCTTCAGACAGCGGCTGCACTGAAAATGGTAACCTCTTCTGGGCCAGGCCAAGGTCATTTCTCAACCTCGTGTCAAGGCATATGGCATGTTTGAGGTAACTGAAAAGTGGAGGGATGCATTAGTGAAGGCAAGTTTCTACAAAGAGAACAAATAATAGCCTGCAACATACCCTGTTTCACTTAAGAAATTCTTAAATCAGAGCCAAGAAAAGCTTTCTAACAGCAAAAGAAATTATGACTGGCATTGTGTTACCCAGTAAAGTTACAGGATCCTGATCATTAGGAAATTGCAGGAAGCAACAGTTCGATAAATGGTAGGGTGATCCTGACACACAGGTCCTGGCGTGGTATTGACCAAGGAGCAAAAAAAAAAAAAACAACCCAACAGCCTCATAAAGTAGGCACTGTAAGATAAGGTGTGACAGAACAGGATCTGTCCACTGTTACAGGCTTCAACTCAGCTATTCGGAAAACACCATATATTATGATATAAAAATGGAAGAAGATGCACCTGTTAATGCATTCTTACATATGAGAGAAACAAATACATTGGCTTCATGTAAAAATCGTATTACTTCTGATTAACTGTAATCACCACGTACAGTATCTTAAAAGACAGTTTCCTGCTTTAATCACATGTGGCATTGTTGTAGATACAAACACAATCATGTGTAGCTCTTTTTCAGATCTATTTCAAACATCTGCCATGGCCCAAAACTCTAGAGAACCTATTTTGTTTTCAAGAAATTAGAAAACACAGCTGAGGGCATGCTTTCAACAATTCTTGATGAAGGCTGGCCTCCGCAAATTTGGATTACAAAAACAGCAGTTCAGATGCTCAGCTCACCCTCAGGTTTTCTCCTCTTAAATAATAATAATACCTGTATCTTAAAGTAGGTGCTATACCCTTACTTCCAGAAGTTTCTCCCAAGACACTTGCCAGAGAGGTGCCTTCCCACTGGGGTAACAGGCTTCTCAACTTCTCTAAAATTAAACTTGTGTTTCAAAATAAAATAAGACTAAAAAAAAAAAAAATTAAAATGCCACAAGATGAAATGGAAACTCATACGCTAAAAGTTCAGTGTTGTTTACCATATATTACATCTTGCCATTGGGGATGTTTTTTTCTTTCATTTTTATACAATTCTCTCTCACATTTTAATGACGACCACTGGAAACCTGTCTGTCAGTCCTCCTTTCTCCTCAGAAAGATCTGAAACGAAAAAAACCAGCAATCCTAAAAGCTAAAGTAGTTCATCTCACTTTTTCCTAAACCCCCTCAGACCCAGCTATAGGGTTTTTCACATCTTGGAAAGGAAAAAAAGTTCCAAAAGTTATACTACTTGCATCTCCGTAAGAGTTGTGCTGACTTTGAGAAGGCAGCTCTCCTTAGCAAACATGAAGTTGTCTGTCTGCAGCTTCTTTTAGCAGTATGTTAACACAGTATCAGGCTTTTACTTTTATCACCTTCTTCCACTCATCCTGTGTGACATTATTCTTTGCAACTGTAGTGTAATCAGTGTGGTGTGTTGTTTCTGTTTGTTTTTTTTTTTCTGAAGCCTGTTTGGCTGTTCATGGAGTTCTTACACAACAACAGAAAAGAAAAAAAAAAAACACCACCTTTCGTATTAAGCAATGAACAAGTGTGAAAGGAAAAAAATTATTTCTTTAGTTACTGGGAGTAGCTTTTCAAATACCTCTAAACCACAATGCAACTGAGAGATAGTTTTATGGGTACCAAGCTGATTCCAGTGACTCTTAGTTTCTTCCCCACAGCAACAGCCTGAGGTCACGTCAAGGACTCTAATTACCTTTTTCCTCATGCTTTTGCTCTCTTCCCCTGTGCCTCAAATCAGACTGAAGATTTGAAAATAAGCTTTGTATTTCCAATAACAAAATCATCAAGATCTTTCAGAACTGTCAGAATAAATTTGTATTTTTTCTTGCAGTAGAGAATTGTCTTAGAATGTATGAAACTCATACTTAATGTTTTTGATAGGAAAAATTATGATAAGTCTATCTCAATACAAAATATATTTGATTTACTGTGGCAAGAAATATTCTGAGGACATTCTTTCAGACATTAATCTTCTTTCACTAATTTACAGTTTAGTCCAGAAGCTTTTCAACAAAACTTTGACTACGTGAGCAACTATTCAGATCTGTTGACTCAACACACAACACTCTGCATTTTCAGTTTTTCTTATTAAGTATTTTATTGTTTTTGTGAACATACACATGTGCAAAAAAGAAACCATAGGTACTTTTTATTTTTTTTAAATCAAAAGCAGGTACATATTTTTATCAAAAGCATTGTTAAGTGCTAAGAATACGTGGATAAAATGAAATACGTATTTTAATTCCCACTGATTTACATCCATATTCTGACTGTTGGCTCTTTAGGATATTTCTCTACAAACACAGTTCCACTGACTTGAATGTCAATACCTATGGAGCAAATGACTTTTGTCTTCTTGAGTAGCACCAAAGCAGTAAATTAACGGTGCCAGCTCAACCTCCGCTCTTGCTTCTCCCACTTCAAGTTTGAATATTGGGTTGTTTGAGAGAGTCTCAGGCAAATGTAATACTGATATCGTCAAGACATCCCTGAATATCAAAATATCTTCTAGTTTAGAAGACCAGTGCTCTTCATGCTTCCATGTTACCACAGACAGGTGCTTTAGCTGAAGAGATTTCCCGTTCCAGAAAATTGTTATCTATTTAGCTTCTATTTGTGTAAAAAGTCTATCTGGCAAAGGAGCATTTCCCACAAGGATATAAAAGCTTGGAAGCTGAATTTCTTTCGTTGTTTTGTTATATATCAATATAAATAGTACGAAATGTTCGGGTATTTTTTTAAAAACATATAAAATTAGTGTGCAAAAGTTCAGAAGGAAAAAAAATTCATTGTGATTGGCAAGGGAAGATGGCTATGCACATTTAGGCAAAAAATCTAAATACAAAAAACTTGAAATGTTTAAATATATTTGTTAAAATAGCTATAAATATGACAAGAATTTTTAAAAAAAGGCACTAACTTCTGAAAAAATGTCCTGCATTAATTCAAAGGATACCAATAAATCACAGTGTAACAGGAAGCCACCTAGAAAATATCAGAGTTGGAAAACTTCCAGTAGTAGGAGCTATAATCACTCCCCAGACCTTATGAATATATCTTTCACTGACAATGCTCAGTGGTTTCCAGGGCTGCAGTGTTCTATTCCCTCCTCATCTGTCAAAACCTACTATGGGCAGACTCCTCTTACACAAAAGGAAAGATTATTTTTAAGCTTGAAAAGGGTACTGAAATGACATAAAAATGTTTATTCTTCACGTGCACTGAAGAATACATCTGAATTTTTCTTTCCCCAGAGGAGATTTTCTAATGATGAGAGAAAAGCCTTAACTTTTGTAAACCAGTAAAACTGAATGTCAATAAATGTAAATCTTCATGCTATTAAAAATATATATAAAATTTCCAAATTAAAATCAATGCTCATTGAAAGTGTGTTGACAGGGTAATCCTTCCACTAAGACTCTTGTGTGTATGTGCCAGCACGGGAGACTAAAATGCTTTCTTTGCCTCCCAGCTGTTGTCTTCTTATGCATGCTTCTACAGAGGGCCACTGCACACATCTCTTTTGCAGTCTAATATGTCAGCTGGCAGAATCATGTATTTGAAACCTAAAAGCATGGCAGTTTTTAAATCAACATTTTCAGTATTTCAATTTAAAAGAGTCGGTGCGATGCCTCCATATTGCAGTTGTGGGTACTGAAATGGAGAAAAACAATCACCTGAACACAAACAGCAAAACATGCCTATTATGCTTTAAGGTACAGCTTACTTCTGTTAAAACCAGTAACAGATGGAAATAAAGTTGAAACAGAAACTAGTTTTGCATCCTGCTCTTGGTAACAGGCTCGGTATTTTGTCGCACAAGCAGAGCAAAAAATCTCTTCAAGTATTTGCATCAAGCAGGCTCCAAACTAGTTAGAATTCCAACCTCCTGATTTGTGGTGTATTCTGTCACCGCAGGCATTAAGCATGCGCTGCCTGCAGACCGCTTTGACTCTTAAACAACAAAAGAACTTTCTGAAATTTGTTGTTTTCCCTAGGCTCTTAGCCTATCCTTCATTCCTCTTTCTTGACTGGAACAAGTATCATTGCACAGAGATTTTCTGAGTACTTGCACCTTCAGTTACAGAAAGAGAGTAGTTGAAAATAGTTTTATCAACACTTCTATTAGGCCATAAATAGAATGATTTTTCAGCACATTTAGGAACATTTACCAAACAAAAACTGCGCAACAGCTCCCACACTTGTAGGGGTTGTCATTAAGGAAAAATCATTGAAAATAATATCTTTATATAAAATAATATGATTTTGAAAACATTCCAGTCGGTCCATGTTGGCTTCAGTAGGGTAGTCACCTTCTGCAAAATGAAAAGCAGCAGCAGAGGATTGTCATGAGAGGGTGTTTTCTTCTGTATTCCAATGCTTTCTTTATTTGCTCCTTGGATTCTCCTACATAGTCCTCGACATTTTGCACATTTATCTCAATGACATCAAAGGTGTCTGCCTGTTCTTCCACTAGCAGGGCTACCTGCAGAAAGAGCTCATGAACCTCCTTAATACGACCTTCTAATTTCACCAGCTCCTTGTGACGTGTCTCTAACTCATTCAGGGCTGAGCGAGCTCCCTTCACATCCGACAAGAGATTCTCAGAGAAGACATCCCACCTGCCTTGCTCAATCATCTCCTCAATCTGGTTGCTAGAAACATCTTTGCCCATGATTTCTAGCTGACGCTGAATTCGGATCTTGCAGTTCTCCCGTTGGTTCATCTCTGTTGCATTGTATTCAAACATAGCTTCCTGAAAGGCGTGCATGAGGTCAACATAATGGTTCTTTGCTATCCTGGCAATCACAGACATAACTCCATATTTTGTTATTGCATCTTCGCAGAAATCTCTCATTATTTGGAGTTTCCTGTGGATGCTTTCTCCACGGGCCTTGATGTCTCTGGCAATACCATTAGTATCTCGTTTAATGCTACTAAGACGGCGCATGGAAGTAAGGAAGCGGTTGTTTTGCTTTTTCAGTCGCTTGACATCCTCTTTTAGGAGGTTATTTTCAGTCCGGATGTTCTCTATGTCCTTATGAAGATTTTCCAAGGCATAATCAGTCTCATAAAGGAGAACGTCACGGGGTGAATTTTCATCATCCTCACTATAAGAAAACTCTTGGTTGTGCAACCTGGCAAGTTCACGCATCTCATTTAGCCGGTCTTTCATCCTGCCTGTAAAACAGAGGAAAAGTAGGAAAAAAAAATTACAGTAAGTGAAGTATTGCTTTACAAGTTCATAACTAATGATACATTAAAGATAAACCAACATATTGCAGATCCTCTATTGTTCTAAACTTGCTTTTCCTGGAAGGAGAGCAGAAAAGTATACAGCTGTAAGCAATATTGTTGGGAAAGAAAAGCTTTGAGGAGCAATGTGTAAAGAAGCAAGAATACACACATATATACACACATATATTCTTTTTTAAATTATTTTTTAAGGAAAAAAAAAAAAAGGAAGAAAAGAAAAAAGCAAGTTTAGGGTCTTCAGATGCTATTATTAATCATATTGCACCAGGCATTAAAAAAAAAAAAAAAAAAAAAAAAAAAACCCAGCAACAGCTCCATTTTCTAAGTAAAATCAACCAACTCAAGTCTCATTTATTTTAGTGTAATGGAAGCATCTTACAGAAAGAATAAAGTAATAATATCGTTAGAGGTCAGAATCTGTTCTTTTTGCCTCAGACTTACTTAACTATAAATTTCACTAAAGCACTAGTGAAGTGGTAACAAGACATAAGTCTCCTCTAAGTATGTTATTCACTTGAAATTCTAGAGCTAAAATCTTTGCAGAAAGTAAGACTGAAAGCTTCAGTGAGAACCCTGTACTAAATATTGCAGCAAGCAGGAAGCTGAAAATTTCCCATCAAAAAACCGTATCTCCCATGACATCATTTAAGTTAATAAGAAAGAGAACCAAATTAAGAAGTAATAACAAGCATGACATCGCCAAATCTCTGTGTCTAAAAGAATCATCTTTGTTTTTCCAGGAATTAGAGCACCTTCACAAGCATTTACAAACATGTTATCTGTTCTGGACACATCCCTTTGTAGGTTTATCAGTTACTCTAAAATCCCATGTGAACATACTAAGGATAACAGGCCTGACTCCAATGTGAATTAAGACTTCCATTTGATAGCCAATTTCATGGGATTGTTGGATATGTTAAAGGTGTTGGGGAGGAGAAGGAAGATTCCACCACAGACACAGCCTCTTCAGCTCAGTGAGACTATATGCTGATCTTGAGAAGCATCCTGATTATAATCTTGTTTACACTGGTACAAAAAAGGTTTGTCAACCTAAACTAATTCTGTTCCAAGCAACATAAAATGAACAAACAAAAAAGTCCAAGAATACAGTGAAAAAGTGAGCTTTCAGTCAGGAATCTACATTTGTAACAACTGTTTGAATTTAAACCAGAACCCACATATCTGTAATTAAATTACACAGGGAAAGCTTTCAGATATCAAAGGTTTTCCACCGCCTCCCACAGCAATAACAAAATCAAGACCTACACCTCATGCCACAGCACTGAGATGAAAAATCCCCACCTACAAGGAAAACAAAGTCGCATAGGGCAGCTTTAATGTCTGGTTTACTTGACTTGAAAAGTGTACGGCCAAGATTACCTACAGGAACCGTAGCTAGAATAACTGCCATCTGTGTTTGGAAATGGTTATTGGAATCTAGACAGCATGGTGGAAAGAGAAAAAAGAGCCATCTTGCAATCTCTTCTAGTAACCAACTGTTTCTGAGTTTTTCACCTGAAATGTAGATGTGGGCCTGAAAAGTAGTCACACTGCTAGTCTGACTGCATTCCTGACTGTTAGTGGCTGCCCTAGAGTTTAAAATCCTCCCACTTTTAGCTTCCACCCTTTAACTGTCATGTGCTGTGCTCAGCGATTTATTCATTTTGTGTTTAACATCTACATTTGGAAACAATAATTTTTATTTTCCAAACCTCAAAGCGATGATCTACTTTACACAGATGGCATCTCACTTCTGTGTGTCATGTGTATGCAGGCCTACATCACCCCTGTGCTGGAAAGAATGGTTCTTCGACTTGAGGAGAACTAAATTTCAGTGGACTTCCTAAAGAAATCCTCACAGCAAGCAGTCTGACAAGTGGCTCAACAATAGTTACTTTTGTGTGTGTGTGTGCGCGTGCTTAATAAGGTCAGTGAGCTTCTCTGGAAAAATAAGAATAGCTCAATCTATTAGCCACTACACTGTGTTCTTCCAGGCTTCAAGGAACATAGGCATCTACCTATCATTTTAATCCAGAGATGCTCTCAAGTATGCACACAAAACATGAGTTTGGTATGAATAATAACTGGTTTTTGTTTGTTCAAAACTTAAGCAAGAGTTGTAAGACTCAGGAAAGTTTACATTTAAACAGAGAACTACACTGAATAAGAACACTTGCACAATAACTTGCAAATAACTTTTCCTTCCTCTACCCTCAAGGATGCACTTTGCAATTTGTCTTTCTTATTTACCGCTATTTTAAAGCATTAGATAAAACAAAAATAAGAACAAATGGAGAAGTAGAAACACTAGTAAACACTAGTAAATTCATAGCATGATGATTACTAATGCTGTAATAAATTTACATTGATATGAACTCTGCAGCATCTCTGTAAAAGTACTGGTCTTTTTGTTTGTTCATTTAATACAAAGTACATGAAAAGTTAGAAAGCACCAAAATAAGAGCAAAGACCTCCCAAGTATAGCCTCAGATTGCACTGTAACATTGCCTATACACAGAATGATTGTGGCATTAAACACTGGCCTACATCCTACTACTTCCACCACGTCTGTCTACAATCTATATGTGCTGAAAAAAAACGTTCTACAACGTAAATTTGAACACTCATAATTCAACTCATGGTCAGATATCTCATTTACTGTGTTACTACAGCTCATTTCTTCAGGGCTTTTTCCTGTGATACCCCCAGAATGCTCTATACATTCTTCAGAATCCTTTGGGGAATGGCAATTCTAACAGCCCAGTCCACAGACATAGATTTCAGCAGAGTGATTATGGACAACAGTATTATTCTTGATGAGTTACAATGCCAGCTTAAGACACTTGAAGCACACTGCTCCATACCTTGTAAATTCAGAAGTCAGCGCCTGACTTCAACCACTGCAGCTGGTTTCAAGCACTTCACCACGTAAGATCCCAAAGTAACAAGCTGGACATTGGTGAACGAACACATGGGTCTAGGCCACTCACGAGTTCATCTCCAAAGACACATGCAGCATCTCCTACGATCTCCGTAATCCAGTAGAATCCAATTCTAAATATGAACAAAAGGATCAAATTAATATTTTGTAGACAATCTTCAGCCTGGATTCCTAGTTTCTTATTGCTTTGCTCTAAAAGCCTACATTCCAGCCCCTCAGGGAATTTAGTCAACAAAATTCCCTGGGAATCTGTCTTCAAGGACAAGGGAGCTGAGCAGAGCTAGCAGACCTATAAAGAAGCTTTCCCTAGAGCACAAGAGCTCTTCATCCCCAAATGAAAAAAGTCACGAAAGAAAGGCAAGAGACTAGTGTGGCTGAACCAGGACTGCTGGTCAATATGGAGAGCAAGAAGAAAATACATAGGCAATAGAAGCAGGGACAGGTAACCTGTGAGAAGTACAGGGATGCTGCTAAGCTGTGTAAGGCTGGAGTCAGGAAGGTTGGAACTGATCTTGGCAAGGGGTGCAAAGAAGGATAAGAAAGGCTTCTATAGATACAGCAACCAGAAAATGGAAGTCCCACAGTCCGTAGTGAGTAACTACAGGCAAGGAAACGGCCGAGTAATTCAACAACTTCTTTGCCTCAGTCTTCACTAACAGTGGCTCTACACACAGCCCTTGGAGAGGATGGTTCAGAACGTGGGGACTGGAGGAGCAATTCCCCTCCCACTGTAAAGTGAAGATCAGGTCTGTGGCTGCCATGAACATCTGTAAATCTATGGGTCCCAATAAAATGCACACCAGAATCCTGAAGGAATTGGCTGAAGTAATCACCAAGCCACTCTGTGATATCTGACTAGTCATGGTGGTCAACTGAAGTCCTTGCAGACTGGAAAAACAGTAATCACAGAACAGCTTGGATTGGAAGGACCCCAAGGATCATCAAGTTCCACAGGTAGGGCCACCAACCTCTAAATCTGGTACTATACCAGTTTGCCCAGTGCCCCAACCAACCTGGTCTTGAACACCTCCGGGGGCAGTCAATCAAATTGATCATTTTGAGTTGTTATATCCCCTTTAGAACAGTTTTGCTCCAAAGATTCCTGAGCCTGACAGGTATTATTTTCCCCATTTCACAGATAAGGAAGCTGATGTCAGCAGGGTTATGTAACTCGCTCAGGTCACCTGTCACCCTGTCACAGCTAAGTGACAATATAAGGCTTTAAGGTCATATCTCCTTGAACTCCTGATTTTTTAACGCTGCTGCTTTGGGCAGGAGGCGGAGCATGCCTTATCCAATACAAGCAGAGATGGAATTTAGAAAGGCCATTGCAATGGTACATGTCAAAATATGGTGAATGAAGCAACCATACCCTCTGGAAAAACATGACGGTATGTTTAATCACCAGAGGTAAATAATGTTGGCATTACTCTTTAAAGTCACAGATCTACAGATGCCATGGCTGGGTACATCATTTCTTCTACTTCATGCAAATGAAATTTGCTTGAGTAATATAGCACCCATTTTTAAGAAGGGTAGAAAGGACAACTCAGGGAACTACTGACCTGTCAGCCTTACCTTGGTACAAGGGAAGATCATGGAGCAGATCCTCCTGGAAGCTATACTAAGGCATATAGTAGAGAGGGAGGCAACATACAATAACCAGCATGGCTTCACCAAGGGCAGGTCCTGCCAGATGAACCTTGTCACTTTTTGTGAAGGTGTAACTGCGTCAGTGGACAAGCAAAGGGCCACTGATATCATCTATCAGAAGTTCTGTAAGACTTTTGACACATTCCCCCACTATTGTACCCAGAGTGGCATTCAATGACTCGATGTCCAATGGAGATCAGTGATGAATGGTGTCCCTCAGGTCAGTACTGGTACTGACACTCCTTAACATCTTCATCAATGACACTGACAGTGGGATCAAGTGCACTCTCAGCAAGATTGTGATTAATGTCAACATGTGTGGTGTGGTTGACATGGTTGAGGAATGTGATGCCATTCAAAGAAACCTAGACAGGCTCCAGCAGTGGGCTCAGGTGAACCTCATGAGGTTCAACAAATCCAAATGTTGGGGGATGTAAGGATGGAACACAGTCATCCTTAAGGACTTGGGGTACTGGTGGATGGCAAGCTGGACATAAGCCAACAATATGCCCTCATAGCCCAAAAACCAACTGTTTAAGCTTCGTCCTCTGACAAAACAGTGAACTCATCTGGAACATCTGCAAACTGCTATTTTGACAGATTCACAGTTCAGTGAAATTTTAGGAGATTCTCATAAGAAAAACAGCAAACTCAAATACAATGGCATTACAGAAGTCTTTCCCCATTTCAAACAAAGGGGAAGAGATCTTCCCAGGAGAGGCTAGTAACTTCCAAGTATTCCTTTGATAGAATCAGTAACAAAATTGACAAAAAAGAGCTGAAACAAACAAACAACAATGGGAAAGCAGAGGGAACCAGCCATTTGAAAAATGGGAACTTAACTGATCAGTATTTAGAGAAGTTGACCTCCTTTATCAGATGCTGCTGTTACTCAGGACAGCGCAGTTACACTTACTTACATGTTGGTAGCACTGCTTGTAATTAAAATAGACATATGTTAACATGTGATATATTGTACAATTTGTTAGGGATAGCCTCAGCAATCTCTTCTTTTATATAGAGCCACATGCAGCAGGAGAAGCTGAGCCTCTCAGGATGGAAAGCATCTTTGCAAAGAGAACTTTGGGGTCCTGGTGAACATCAACTTGAACATAAATCAGCTCTGAACCCTTGTGGCACATGACACCAGCAGCATCGTTGACAGGAACAGCAGAAAAGCTTGAGGGGAGTGATCCCTCACATCTGACATCTGAGAGCCTGTATCTGGAGTGCTCAATCTGTGGCATTGCAAGAGATATGAACACCATGGAGCGAGCCCCACAGAGGCCACCAACTTGGTTTGTGGTGTTGGGTCCCTGCTGTGTGAGGAGAGTCCAGGAGAACTGGAATTGTTCAGTCTGGAAACAGAAAGTTCTGGGGACATCCTACTGCTGCCAGCATCTATCAAATGTGATGTGGACTGCTGCCCCTGCTGTTGTACAAAGTGGGAAAGAAAACAGGCAATACCACACACACACACACACACACACACACACACACACACAAACACACACACACAAAAAAAAAAAAACCCTACAGACTCACAAATATTGGAATGGGTTCCCAAAGAAGTTTTGGAATCTACCCAGCCAGGGCCTTCAGCAACCTGATCTACCCATGTGTGGTTTGAGCGTGGCTGGATTAGACAACCTCCAGAATTTCTCTCCAGTGTAATTTTGTTGTATTACACAGGCTCAGGTCTGAAGTCTGATAATTTGAATGAGGTATAAATACTACGCTACTTGCACAAGTTTATTTATGTTTAACACATTATTGTATTGAGAACCAGCTACTCTGCACCTCGGAATAACTGCCCCAAGTATATAAATAACTTAGCTACGAGAGATGGTTTAGTAGCTTGTGGCACTGATAGGAATGGGAGGGTGGTTGGACTAGATGATCTTGCAGGTCGTTTCCAACCTTGTGATTCTGTGATTATGCTGGTTTGATTTTATTTCAAAATACTGTATGTGTTCAAAGTGCAACATGTACCTTCCTGTTTGTATTTTTGGGGTAGATAAATCTGTCCTTGTAAAAATTAAGTTCCTTTTGCAACTCATCGTGGTGTATGCACTCAAACACACGCACACAGGAAATACAGGCCAGGTAATGACTGCAAAGTTTACTGCTTTGAAGCCAAATACCCACCAAGCACAGTCAGGGGGGATGTGTTTAGCATTCACCTCTTCATGTTAGCACACTGCTTCTTGGTGTTAATCACTATGACTAACTTTCCCATGATGCATGAGAAATTTGCAAGCTATTCTGTCGCAATAAGAGTTCATGACATGGGATTTCAGACAGAAAAGGAAATCCACTCTGAAAGTTAAAAGCTGCACAAAACTGCTTCCCAAAAGCCCCATGTACAGACAAGAAGTTCTGAATTACTGGTAAAATAAAATGCCTAATAAAATAAGCTATTTGTAGTAACAAATGTTGGCTGTAAGAGCAAGTTATGCACAGCAGCACTACAAGCATGTATTTCCACTACTGTGCTGATGTTTTGCTTCTAAGTAGAAATAAGAAAGGATGGAAAGTAATATATAAAAGCAAACAAGTTGCACACCTTTATTTGTCTCAGCATTAACATTTGTATATCCACATCACTGGGCTTGGTGACAAGCAGTGAAATAAACCAGCAGGTTCAACACAGCATCCACATTTGCATCACAAGCAGCTAGGAAGGAAGCCAGTGTGCATTTTTTCTTTTTACATCATTCCCAGAAGGCAGCTGCTAGCTAAAAGCAGTTTGTAGGTTAACAAAAGTCTAGTCAGTAATTTTTCATCCTTGAATAAGACCTTAAAAGATGAAAGTCTTACTTCAATTCAAGTGGCCTATTTGAGGAACAACAGCTACTTCAAAACAAGCCATTTCAAACCATTTCTATCTGCAGTTCTTCACTGGTTGGAAGGTAGAAGTCACCAGCTGCTTCAGTATGAGTGCCTATGGCTCAACTGGCCCGGTATCCTACTCCTGAATGCCACGTGCTATTGCTTGTATGACACACCACAGACATGACACAAGAAACAAGTGGTGAACAACTGGAAAACAATCTACTCCTAGGCAGAATTACTTACTAGCCTGCTGTGTGTCAGCACATTCCAGTGACTTTCCATGCTTTTTATGGACCATACAGTATTGACAGAAACTCATACAGACTGTTGGCATCTAAAATACTCAATTGTGAGGCAAATGATGTGCTACACAAAACTGAATAATTTATAGTAAAAAAAAAAAAAAAAAAAAAAAAACACCAAAGTCTTTCTTTTCAGAGTTAGAGTGTCAGATTTAACAATTATATTTCTGTTTTAGAGCAGATTCAGTCATTTTCTCTGGTATCTATTCTCCAATAACAGGTTAGACAATAGTAACTCAGACAACAGACTATTGTTTGCAATAGGATTTCCTCTATTAAAAAGAAAAACAAAACAAAACCAAAACACTTCAAATTGAATCAGA